ATAATTACTCTAATGTTATAAACATTAGTAACAGGAAAATAAGATAACGCAAAATAATTTCGTAAATTAAAGAAAAGGGTAAACAGACGAGACAGGCAGTACAAGTGCAAGTGGAGCCATCTATGTTTGTAAACAATCAAACAAGTAAACTCAAAGTGGGCCCGTCACGTATAGGTGACACCCGGCGCGAATGGGTTAAAGAAGATTGGCATATATGGGATAAAAACTTCAGAATCTGGGCAAAGTTTAGCTACATGGTGACAGGTCTGGGCACCTTTTCTGGAATCAGGTACATTTTTCCTGGTATAGCTAGTCTTAGTTTCACACAGCCATATGGAATAAGGTAAACATAATACTTGAATACATTTATAGGTAAATCTAAGAACACTATCATAATGGAAAAACTACTCATTGATGTATGAAGTAATCTGCATAGGCAAAGAGTAATGTCAGAAATAATAAAAATAGGTCACTACAAATGCTATGTGGGGAGTAAGTCCATGGCAATTGGGTGAGGGTCCAGGAACAGAGCCCCTGATCGGAAAATTCAGCGATTGGGTAGAGGTCTGGAGGTGAAGCCCTCGGGTCAAGTTTTTGGTTCATACAGCAATGTTTGTGGATCTCTAATAGTGGCTATAATAATAAGAACTTATGGCCACATTATAAAATGTCCCTAAGGGGAAGGCTTTCCCCAGAACCTAGTTTCCCTGCACTTTCCTGTATTATTAAAGTTTTGCAGGTGTTGCTTGCTTTGTGGGGCCCCAGCATAGTATTGGAACAAATGTGGGGCAGCTAGGAACATCCTGCACCAAGAATATACTCATATGAATTTGAGCATTATATCAGGATTATTTAAAAATATTATTTAAAATATATTACACAGCTCTCATTTTACTATTTGACATAAATAACATATATATCTAGTTTTTAAAAACAAATGTTGGGAGGTCTGTACCACCTGGTAGTTTCCTCACAGTTTCTGTGATATATTATTGCAGATTTTAGAAATTACAATATTTACCATAAATTAATGACCCTCATCCTGATAATATTCAGAACCTTGATTTTGCTCTTCATATACATAAATATCCATATGTGGGTGTATGTGCATTCAAATGTATTCTCAGACCAAATGCCTAAAAATGCATTTATTACATAATTTGTTAATTTAACTTTCATCTAAAACATCTTTCATCTTCAATACGTCCACGTTAATGCACAACAATCATTACACAGAATGCATTAATGTGAACATATGACAATGGTTCTGCTATATATGAAAGTTTAAATTAATAAAAACAATTCATAAACACAACTTTAGGTAATTGGAAATGTAAGCCTTTATATATATCTATATATGTATATGTAGGCCTATGTATGAAATTAGACAGATATATGGGTTTATACACTACAGGTATATAAATACACATTTCTATTTATCTATCTATAAATATATGTACTTTGGGGAGATTTTAAGTTAATTATCATCCACCTGTTGCAAAATTTCAACATCTACCAGGGACAGAATAAAATCAGCATCATTCCATTAGATTATGGTTTGATGAGTAAAAACACTGAAGCAGCAGAATAGGAAATATGCAATCCTAGCTGTTTTATTAATAATGAAATATAATAATTGCTGATGTTGATAACCCCGAACTTTCCCAGATGATCAAAGGTTTTGAGAGCTACTGAGAATATGACAGTTGTAAATGACAGTTGAGATTCCAATAGTCTGATTTGACACATCTTTCCCAAAACACTGACAAAGAATATGGCTATAAATCATGATTCAGCCTGTAGGATTCATCAAGTGTACCATCCAGTCACTGCAGAAATCACCAGAGTAGGGACTTGCCCAAGCAGTTTAATATGCTTTGAGAGTGCGGGGCTCCCCACACCCTTCCCTTCCATGGGAACTGAATTACTGGGCCTGCACCAACATGTCAATAGTACAGCCATTAGTCTCAGGGGAGGTCTGTCACAATGTAAACAGTTACCAATACTTTCATTTAGGACAATATGTAGTATAAGGTAGTGGCAGAGTTGGGTAATAAAACCTACATGAAATGACAGAACATTACAAACCAAGACAAAGTTCCTCTATGGCAATATATGTGTAAATGCTTCCTAAGGGTGCTATACATAAAAGAAAAGAAATCCCCCAATTTTGGCTAAGTCGTTAATCTTGTTTACATTGTGAGGGGGAATTCTAAACACATATACTACCACGGGGGTCCAGGAGGCATAGCCCCCTGGCTACGCAAATATATTACCATGGGGGTCCAGGGAGCATAACCCCTTGACTAAGCACATATACTACCACAGGGGTCCAGGGGAATAGGGAATATATACCATGGTGGTAGGTTAGGTTGGATGGTGGGTTAGGACGTTTTGTTTAAAAACCACGGGGGGCCTGTTTTACCCCATAATTTCCCTGATATACTTCATGCCCTCCCCTGCTATCGGGACTATCAAATCAAGATTGTAGATGGAGATAGTGATCACAGCTCCTCAACGATTCACTTGCACAATGAAAAATGCCTAGAATCGTTGAAAGCAGTGGATTTCATGCAGAAAAATATCAAAATTGTTTCGAAAGTAACCCACTACCCTCTTCTACATAATGGCCAACGTTTCCATATCAAGTTCACACTTTTTCTTGGTCACTCTGATGACACCTCAGCATAGTTGGCAAGTAATGACAGTACATTTAAACAGTCGACTCTAAAAGCCGAAGACAAGTTGACGATATTTCTGAGACAGGCTCCAAAGAAGCCTCAATCCAGTCAACTATATGTACGTATGTATGTATGATAGAGTGACGGCCTTGGAGCTTTGTAAAGGACAGTTCGCCACTGGACAAGGGAAGGAGAACGCAACTTACAAGAAAGAACAGTTAACTTTCGGCGAGTGTGGCACACAGGTTTCCAAGTCTGCTCTATCTGCATGTGACTGAGAGGGCTCCCCACCCGTTCCGGCGAGAGAGAGAACGACAAGCAGCGGAGGCACAGCCGTCCACCAGAACTTTTCTCTCATGATTGTAAACACCAGCCAGCAGTGCTGCAAACCTTGGTGGCTCCAGCGGTTGTCCCTCCGAAACCTAAATAGAAAAATAAGTACGAGCAGTGCAGTCCGATTTTTTTTACTTTTCTTCCGGTATATCAGTTCAAGCGTACTTTTAGACGCAAAGGGGCTACAGGGGCATGTCGACGGGGCAGCGCGGCGGGCGGGTGGCAGGCCTGGCGCGCCGTGCCTCTGTCGGCCGCCGCCGCAACCGCACTTCGTGTTGTGCTCCTGGACGGCAGAGGCATCCGCGTTGGCGGCCCACTTTTAGCTTTTGTGTGAGACCCTTACGTAATCCGAAGTCAGTTGGAAACAGAGCAGGCTCAGTAGTCACTTTTTATAACAATGGACCTACAAATAGAGGCAAGTGACGCCTCCAGAAATGAAGTAGAAGTAGGAGGTGGAGTAAGCGAGGAAAAGCTTGGCAAGCAATTGCAGGCAGTGGACGTCGGGAATCAGGAATGCGGGGATGCAAAGGAAACCTTGAAGGACTCCGAGGTTAGTGATAGTGCACGCCAGTCAGAGCGGCCCACTATGGGTTCGGGGGAGAGCAAGTGCGAGGCGCAGGCCAACGGCGAGGCCCTGGCCAACGGCGTGCGCGAGGAGGGGGCCAGCGGCGGGGACCCCAGTGGAGCCAGCAGTAGCAGCAGAGACTTCAGTGTCGTGCCACACACGCAAGAACAGGAGGTTAGTCAAAATGAAAACGACGAGGAAGAAACAAATATTAAAGTTACAGAACTGATTAATGAAATATTAAACCAGTCATCTTATTTAGAGGATAGCAATCTGAATGGGCTTGAGTTTGCGGATACTTTACCAGGAGAGATGGATGCTACAGACCTTAATATTGCAGTTAAAAGCTCATCACATGTGTTGTACCTTAATCATAGAGAGGAAAATGGTTCATCACCCGACTCAGATTCCAATATGACCACTGCGAGTGAGGGCTCGTCCACCCCGACAAGTGAGTTATCTTCAACCTCGATACACTCATCTGACCAGCAGAACTTTCTTAATACACAGGATGCAAGGGTTTTAACCCACCTGATATGCTCCAACAATTTGGCAGATCCAGATTGTAGAATAGAAGACAAGCTTTCAAATGAATGCAATCCAAAATTATTGCTTGAGGTGAGTGTTCCTGATTGCATAAATGACTTAGACACCTTATCAGTTAAAGAAACCATATTAGAAAGTAATGATTCCAGTATTTTGGTTATGGAACTTATTGGAGAGGCTGCTGTCCCTCAAACATCAAAAGAAAAAGCATCCTTAAAGGGTGAACCGGATGCTGATGCCATAGATTGTGTGAACTTTGATGAAGGAAAAGTAAATCCAGACGTTAATATCTCACAAGAGACAAGTACACAGTCAGATCAGTATCACTCTATTGTAGTAAACAGCTCAGAAACAGAGATGGCAAATACCCAACAAAAGGGGCAAGTGGAAGAGTTGGAACCAGTTGGAGATGTTGATAAAAGGGAAGTAACAGAAGATGTAAAAATTTCTGATATTACTGTAAAAGCAGAGATTCAAACATTTGCTGAAATTACAGACTTGTCAGAAATTACTGAAATATTTGAGAACCAAACATGTACACAAATAACAAATTCAGAAAATAAGGAAGCAGAGGCTGTAGATGACACAGATTTTGTAGATGTCATTTCTACAGAAACTAGAGCCAAAGGTGTAAATGTGGCTGGTGCAGAAATGGAGACTGAATCAGAAAGAAATCAAGAAGAGATAAATGAAATGGACCCACCAGAAGTAAGTGATTCTGTAAACCTTGAAGTAATTGGTGACCAGGTGAGCACAAGCACAAGTGCTATTATTTCTGATGAGGGAAACGATGTTGAAAGTGAAAAGGAATCCATGGAGATGGCAGTAGAATGTCATGACCGAGAATTAGGAGAGGAAAGAAAGGAGGGAGATTT